TTGGCTTTCTGAATGTCCTCTTTTGAAAAGTGTCTATTTAGGGCCTTTGCCCATTTTTTTATTGGATTGTTTATCTTCCTTTTGTTAAGTTGTATGAGTTCCCTATAAATGTTGGAGATTAAACCCTTATCGGTGATAACATTGGTAAATATGTTCTCCCATGCAGTGGGCTTTCTTGTTGTTTTGTTGATGGTTTCTTTTGCTGTGCAGAAGCGTTTTATTTTGATGTAGTCCCATTTGTTTATTTTCTCTTTATTTTCCAATGCCCTAGGAGCTGTATCGGTGAAGAAATTGCTTCGGCATATGTCTGAGATTTTGTTGCCTTTGGATTCTTCTAGTATTTTTTTAGTTTCTTGTCGTACATTTAAGTCCTTTATCCATTTTGAGTTTATATTTGTGTATGGTGTAAGTTGGTGGTCTAGTTTCATTTTTTTGCATGTATCTGTCCAATTTTCCCACACCATTTATTGAAGAGACTATCTTGACTCCATTGTATGTTCTTGACTCCTTTGTCAAATATTAATTGAGCATATTGGTTCGGGTCAATTTCTGGGCTCTCTATTCTACTCCATTGATCTATATGTCTGTTCTTGTGCCAGTACCAGGCAGTTTTGAGAACATTGGCTTTGTAATACAGCTTGATATCTGGTATTGAGATCCCACCTACTTTGTTCTTTCTCAGGATCACTGCAGCTATTTGGGGTCTTTTTTTATTCCAGATGAATTTTTGGAGAGTTCGTTCTAGATCTGTGAAATATGGCATTGGTATTTTAATGGGAAGTACATTGAATTTATAGATTGTTTTGGGTAGTATGGACATTTTAGTGATGTTGGTTCTACCAATCCAAGAACATGGTATGTTCTTCCATCTGTTTATGTCTTCCTCTATCTCTTTTTTAATGTCCTGTAGTTTTCTGAGTACAGGTCTTTTACCTCATTAGTTAAGTTTATTCCTAGGTATCTTAATTTTTTTTGGTGCGATGGTAAATGGGATTTTTTTTTTTTAGTCTTTCTTTCTGTAAGTTCACTATTGGTGTATAGAAATGCCATAGATTTCTTGGAGTTAATTTTGTATCCTGCTACATTACCAAATTCATTTATTAAGTCTAATAGTTTTTTGATGGAGTCTTTAGGGTTTTTTATGTATAATATCATGTCATCTGCAAATAAGGACAGTTTTACTTCTTCTTTTCCAATTTGGATTCCTTTTATTTCTTCTTCTTGTCTAATAGCAATGGCTAATACTTCCAGTACTATGTCAAACAGGAGTGGTGAGAGTGGCATCCCTGTCTTCTTCCTGTTCTTAGGGGAAATGGTGTTAGTTTTTGTCCATTGAGTATGATGTTGGCTGTGGGTTTGTCATATATGGCTATGTTGAGGTATGATCCTTCTCCTCCCACCATGCTGAGAGTTTTTATCAAAAATGGGTGTTGGATTTTGTCAAATGCTTTTTCTGCATCAATTGATATGACCATGTGGTTTTTTTCTTTCAATTTGTTTATGTGATGTATCACATTTATTGATTTACGGATGTTGTACCATCCTTGCATCTCTGGGATAAATCCTACTTGGTCATGGTGTATGATCTTTCTGATGTACTGCTGGATCCGATTTGCTAAGATTTTGTTGAGGATTTTGGCATCTATGTTCATGAGGGATATTGGCCTGTAATTCTCTTTCATTGTGATGTCTTTACCTGGTTTTGGTATTAGGGTGATAATGGCTTCATAGAATGAGCTTGGAAGTGTTCCTTCCTCTTGAATTTTTTGTAGTAGTCTGAGGAGGATAGGTTTTAGTTCTTCCTTGAATGTTTGGTAAAACTCCCTTGTGAAGCCGTCCAGTCCTGGGCTTTTGTTTGCTGGAAGCTTTTTGATGACTGCTTCAATTTCTTCCATAGTTATTGGCCTATTGAGATTTTTAGATTCTTCCTGATTGAGTTTTGGAATGTTGTATTTTGCTAGGAATATGTCCATTTCCTCCAGGTTATCTAGTTTGTTGGAGTAAAGTTGTCCATAGTATTTTTTAACAATCATTTGCATTTCTGTGGGGTCTGTTGTTATTTCACCTCTATCATTTCTGATTTTGTTTATTTGGGTCCTCTCTCTTTGCTTCTTTGTGAGCCTGGCTAGAGGTTCATCAATCTTACTTATCCTTTCAAAGAACCAGCTCTTGGTTTCATTGATCTTATGTATTGTTTTTTTGGTCTCTATGCCATTTATGTCTGCTCTAATCTTTATTATCTTCTTCCTTCTGCTCACTCTGGGCTTTTCTTGTTGCTCTCTTTTTAGTTCTTTGAGATGTAGAATTAGATGATTTACTACCATTTTTTCTTGTTTTTTGAGATAGGCTTGTAGAGCTATAAACTTCCCTCTCAGGACTGCTTTCATTGTGTCCCATAGGTTCTGGATTGTTGTGTTTTCATTGTCATTAGTTTCCAGGATGTTTTTAATTTCTTCTTGATATCCTTGGTAACCCAATCAATATTTAATAACATGCTATTCAGCTTCCAAGTGTTTGAGTATTTTGGGTTGTAAAGTTTATTTCTAATATTATGCCCTTGTGGTCTGAGAAGATGCTTGGTATGATTTCAATCTTCTTGAATTTGGGGAGCCTTTGTTTGTGACCCAGTATGTGGTCTATTTTTGAAAATGTCCCATGAGCACTTGAGAAGATCATATATTCCGTGGCTTTGGGATGAAATGTTCTGAAGATGTCAATTAAGTCCATCTGATCTAGTGAGTCATTTAGGATTGCTGTTTCTTTGCCGATTTTTTGTCTAGAGGATTACTCCTATGATGTCAGTGGTGTATTAAAGTCCCCTACTATGATTGTATTGTTGTCGATCTCTCCCTTGATATCTTCCAGGAGTTTTTTATGTATTTGGGTGCTCCTGCATTAGGTGCATATATGTTTATCAGGGTTATATCCTCTTGTTGTATTGATCCCTTTAGTATTATGAAGTGGCCTTCCTTATCTTTTGTTATGACCTTCACTTTGAGGTCTATTTTGTCCGATATAAGTATTGCTACCCCAGAATTTTTTTTTTTCCTTTCCATTTGCCTGAAAGATATTTTTCCATCCCTTCACTTTCAGTCTGTGCGAGTCCCTTATTCTGAGGTGGGTCTCTTGTAGACAGCAAATATATGGGTCATGTTTTTTTTATCCATTCAGCCACTCGATGTCTTTTGTTTGGAGCATTTAGTCCATTTACATTTAAAGTTACTATTGAAAGGTACTTGTTTGTAGCCATTTCTATTTTTTGTGCCTGTTTTCTTTCTTAGCTTTTTATTTCTTCTTTTTACACCAGTCTCTTTAGCATTTCTTGCATTGCTGGATTGGTGGTGATAAACTCCCTTAGACTTTTTGGTCTGTGAGGCTTCTTATTTCCCCTTCAATTTTGAATGATAGCCTTGCTGGATAGAGTACTCTTGGATTCAGTTCTTTGCTTTGCATCACTTTGTAAATTTCCATCCATTCTTTTCTGGCTTGATGTTTTTCTGTTGATAAATCATTTGATAATCTAATGGGAGATCCCTTGTATGTAACTTTCTGTCTATCTCTTGCAGCCTTTACGATTCTCTCTTTGTCCTGAACATTTGCCATGGTAATTATGATGTGTCTTGGGTCTTTTTGGGTTCACCTTGTTTGGGACTCTCTGTGCTTGTGTGACTTTTTTCTTCCCCACCTCAGGGAAGTTTTCTGATATTATTTCTTCAAATAGGTTTTCTAACCCTTGTTCCTCTTTCTGTTGTTCTGTCACCCCTATTATTCCTATGTTGTTTCATTTCATGTTGTCCCATAGCTCCCTTAGGCTCTCCTCCTGTCTTTTAATTTTTTTCTCCAATTGCAGTTCAGTTTGGGTGTGTTTTGCTTCCCTGTATTCTAATTCGCTAATTCGGTCCTCCGCTTCCCCTAGTCTACTGTTGAAACTTTCAATGGTGTTTTTTATTTCAGCTATATCACTCTTCTTTTCTTCTTGGTTCTTACATAATTTTTTGATTTTTCATCCGTTTCTTTTTGATTCTTACATAAGTTGTTGATTTTTTCATCTGTTTCTTCTTGCTTCTTGCATAAGTTGTTGATTTTTTCCTCCATCCGGTTTATGCATTCTAAGGACCCTTAATCTGAATTCTTTTTCTGTCATGCTGAATGCCTCTGTTTCACTTAGCTGCTTTTCTGGTGAGTCCTCCCTTTCTTTCCTTTGGGGGTTTCTTTGTCTACCCATATTTGATCTCACCTACATATCTAGATGTTGAGTCATTCAGGAACTGCTCCTTGGGTGGCAGTGGCTTCTTGGGCTGTGGTTGCTCCTCGGGCAGTTGTGGTAGCAGCTGCTCCTCAGTTGGAAGCAGCTCCTCTGGTGGGTGCTGTTCACAGCTGTCATGGCTCTTCTGGCTGGTGGGGGGAGGTTTCACACACAGCTGCTGTTCCTCAGACAGAGGGTGTGCTGATCACGAGGCTGCTGTTTCTTGGATGGGGGCTGGCTGCACGCTGCTGTTGTTCCTCTGGTGTGGTGGGCTGCTTGTGGGGCTACTGCTCCTAGGACTTGGACAGGTTGATTGCAAGGCTGTTGCTCCTAGGACGGGGGTGGGCTGCTTGTGAGGCTGCTGCTCTTTGGACGGGAGTGAGCTGCACACATGGCTGCTCCTCCTCAGACAGGGACGTGCCACTCACCTGGCTGCTGCTTGTTGGACAGGTGCAGGCTGTTGTGGCTCTGCTCCTCAGACCAGTGCGTGCTGCGCAGGGCTGCCACTCCTTGGACATGGGAGGCTTGCTCATGCAGCTGCTGCTCCTTGGACCAGGGTGGGCTGCTTCTGCTCCTCGAATGGGGCCGGGCCGCTCGCAGAACTGCTGCTCCTTGGTTCGGCAGGCTGCTTGTGCGGCTGCTGCTCCTTGGACAAGGGCAAGATGCTTGTGCAGCTGCTGCTCCTCGGACTAGTGCAGGGTGTGTGCAGCTGCTGCTCCTGAGATGGGGGCAGGCTGCGCAGGGCTGCCACTCCTCAGACGTAGGAAGACGGCTCATGCGGCTGCTGCTCCTCGGACAGGTTGGACTGCTCGGGTGGTTGCTCCTCCTTGGACGGGGAAGCGGGACGCTCACACATATGCTGCTCCTTGGACAGGGGCAGGCCACATGAGGCTGCTGGTCTTAGGCTCGAGGCAGGCTGCTCACGGGCTGATGCTCCCTGGACAAGAGCAGGCCACTCACATGTCTGCTGCTCACGTCGTTGAAAAAATAATGTGAAAAGAAGTAGGAAATAAAGGAACAAACAAACAAAAGGAGAACAAAGAAAAAACAACAAAAAAAGCTAACGAAATAATAATAAAAAATAAAAATGAAAAATTGAAATGTCATTCCTTTGGCTGGCTTAAGATCCCACTTTTCTGGAATGTCTGTGATTTTTGCTGTTGTTGTCGTTGCTGGGACTGAAAGCACCTCTATAGGCCAGACCCTGTTAACTCCCAGGGAGTAATCAGATTATTTTAATCCTTCATCTCATTCAGGGTGGAATCTGGGTGTGGCTGTATTCCTTGCCTGGGAGCTGGAGGGAGGGGTGGGGTTATAACTTTAGGAGAAAATGGCTGCCCAGGTCCTGGGCTCAGGGGTGACTCAGCACTCAATTTGCTGCCACTTCTCCTGGCCCCCCTTCTCTCCCAGCCTCTCCCCAGATTCCACTCGTCCACACATTCTCCCGCTCTTCTGCACAGGTGAGTGTCTGTATCCAAAATGTCCTATGAACAGGGTTCAGTGAAAACAAACAAACAAACAAACAAACAAATGCCGGCCACAGAAACGGGGAAGGCTGAGTCTCTGTAAGCTCTTCTCTTACCGGCACTGCATGGTCTGGTCAGCGCTTCAGGCTGCCCCTTTTAGGCTCAGTCCTCCGTAATTAGGGAACCCAGATCTCAAGTTCCCCTGCACCAACAGTCCCGTGGATCTCTTTTCCATAGTCAGGGGTTGTGCTTGTCCCAAGAGACACGGCTGTGTGCTACGCGGTCTCCCTCTGACCCTCTGGGCTCAGAGGTCTGGCAAACTTTCCTGCCCAGATCCCTTGTTTTTACCTTTCCAGGGGAACTCTGCCCTTCCTGGCTGCAAACTGTCTCACCAGCTGAGTATACTTCGCCAATTCGGAGTGGGTGCTATTAGTTTCAGCTGCTCACTCCATTTGCTCTGGGACAAGCCCTGGGATATGTCTGCCTATTCCGCTGCCATCTTCCTGAAACAGCGTGTTCTTGGCGTTGTCTCTGGAGATAGTGTAGCGGCCCCTCATGGAATCTGCATAGTATTTCTGACTTCCATCACTCCATATAACTGCCACCTACTCCAGCCCCTTCCCTGGAGCCTCTTGGACCCAGTGCATCCAGTGATTATTGAAGGTGAATCCAGAGGCTGAACAAGAAAGTCTCAGAGACCCCCCAGGCTTCACCAAGACTCCCCACCTCCCAGACTCGGCCAGCTGCACCTCAAACTGGACACCTTCAAACACAAAGATGTCCTGGTCAGGAAACTCTCACACATCCACGTTTCTCTCACTCATGTCTACTCACATAATAAGTGTCTCTTATTCTCCATATATTATCTCTCAAAAGAGCCACAAGGAAAACCCAGCTGATCCCAAACCCCATGGTGAGTTGTCTGTTTTCAGTCCTGATCAGGGAATCAAAATACCTGGGAATCCGAAGGCTGGGCTGCTGTCCCAGAGCTGCAGGGTCGGGTCTGGGCTGGATTTTATGAGGACAGGGAGCTCTATTTGCATGTCCTCTTACTATGTAGGGAGCTCTAGGGTTGGACGTTGATATAAAGGACGTGGCCTCAGAGTGTGACATGTCCAAGGGTGCATATCTGTTAAAATAAGTCCCCACATTCAAGTCTTTGCCTTTTGCATTGGATCCAGTTGCTTTAAGATACCTGTGCAAAGATACCAGAGAGATAATTGTCATAAAATGAACAAGTGAAGGATTGAAAATGAGAGATGCCTTTGACAGAAACCAGTAATGACAATCAAGAGAAATTAATTATCAAATCTGAGATGAATTAAAAGTACAAGAGCTTCATGTTCATGAGATGGAAGTTCCATCTGACACTATTTCTTCTCCAAAGTGATCAGAGGATAACCTAAGAACAGAATGTGAATGTAGAGCCAGTGGACCAATTGCTGAGGGAGAGTAGAGCATCTCTGTGTGTCCCTAGGAACCAGCAGCATGAACTATAGAAACAAAGACAGAGCTCCCGGGTTCTATTCCTTCAGGGTACTTTGGTGCTGGATGTGTAGCAGCTGTACTGCCTCCTTTGTAGGGTTTATTCTCTAGACTCTGTTATAGATCCAGTTTCATACATTGGGATATAGAAGAATCTGTCATGACAAGTTGTGTTTAGATGAAGATATCATTAATGATTCAGGAATATTTAAGTTTAGGTTATGAAAATATTGTTATTGGAAAGCTGATGTATGCATATGACCCTTGGGACTGCTGGCCTATGACCCAACGTGATGGGGGTCACATAATTAGGGGTCACATTTGAGGGAAAGCTACCTGGGAACATGAAAGGGGGATTAACCAAGACTGAGGACACACATGTCCAAGGTTCTTGTTTCATTAGGTAGTGATCTCCTAGTTGTGTATCCAGTTCAAGTTTTCTTTCCTCATTTTCTTCTGAAACATCCCCACATATTTCCTACAGTCTTGAAGGCACTCTGTTGAGAGGGTGAAGGAGCACAAGCCATTTGTGCTTTGGTTTTGTAAATTACATCTTTCCTGAATTCTAGTTTTATTAGCTTCTCATCTGGTTTTTAGGGTTTTATATGTACAAGATCATGTCATGTCTTGCATACAGATAAGGAGAAATATTTTAACTTGTTTCTCTCTGATATAGACATTTTAAATTTCTTTTTCTTGACTAGTTATTCTAACAAGGACTACTAGTTTTGATAAATAGAAGTAGTCAGAGGGGAGCCCTTGTCTTGGTCCTGAAGTAAGAAGAGAAGCTTTGAAATTTTCCCTGTGTAGCATGATGTCACTTATTGGCTTCTCAAATGTGGCCTTTATTATATTGAGGCCCATCTCTTCTACACCTAATCTGTTAATAATTTTAATTCTGAAGTGTTGTTCAATTTTAAAGACTTTATTCCATATCTATTTATATGATGGTATAATTTATCCTTCATTCTTTTGATGAGGTTTATCACAGTTACTGGCTTGCATATGTTGAACCATCCTTGCATGCTAGGACAGTATCAACTTGATTGTGGCAAATGATCCTTTCAGTTTGCTGTTAAGATTCCTAGTATATTGTTGAGGGTTTTCGCATGTATGTTCATCAGGGATATTTACCTGTTTTTTGTATGTTTTTATTTGACTTTGATATGAGTGTAATGGTCACCTCAATAAATTTGTTTGGAAGTGTTGCCTCTTTTTTTGTTTTGTTTTGTTTTTTTCAATTCTCACCCAAGGATTTTTTTCCATGATTTTTAGAGAGAGTGGAAGAGAGAGGATAAGACAGAGAGAAATACTGATGTGAGAGAGACACATCGATTGGTTGCCTCCTGCTCGAACTCTGACCATGGCCTTGCCCAGGGAGGAGCCTGCAAACTAGATAGGTGCCCTTAACCAGAATCAAACCTGGGACACTTCGGTCCACAGGCCAATGCTCTATCCACTGAGCCAAACCAGCTAGGGCTAAAAGTGTTGCCTCTTTCTTTAGTACTTGAAAGAGTTCAAGAAAAGATGATTAAAAAGTTAACAATTCTTATTTAAAATTCCAGTGGAATTCACTCTTGAATCCATTTGGTCCTTGGCTTTTCTTTGTTGGAAGGTTTTCACTATTACGTCAATTATTTTTTTAAATTTGTAGCAATCTAGCAAAGTTGGGATAAAATTCCTAATTTGAGCACCTACAAAGTGGACTGAGAAATACAACTGTTGATCTTCACAGGGTGTGTGCAGTGTTCAAATAATAGTTGCTTCCAGATCACATATTTATTTCATACTAGAGGCCCAATGCACAAAATTCATGCATGGGAGGGTGGGGAGGTACCTCAGCCTGGCCTTCACCCTTTCGTAATCCAGGACCCCTTGGGGGACGGATATCCCTCTCACAATCCAGGACCTCTGGCTCTTAACTGCTCACCTGCCTGCCTGCCTGATCGCCCCTAACCACTCGCCTGCCTGCCTGATCAGCCTTAACCACTCACTTGCCTGCCTGATAACCCCTAACCACTCTGCCTGCCTGATTGTCCCTAACTGATCGCCTACCTGCCTGATCACCCCTAACCATTCTCTGCCTGCCTGATCACTCCTAACTACTCTGCCTGCCTGCATGATTGCCTCTAACTGCTCACCTGCCTGCTTAATCGCCCCTAACCACCTCTGCCTCTGCCCTTGCCACCATGGCTTTGTCAGGAAGGATGTCCAGAACAACATCCAGAAGGTCACTCGGCTGTTCAGTCTAATTAGCATATTACACTTTTATTATTATAGATGGCATCCAAGAGAATGAAATTTAACCACATTTTCTGACATAGAATTCATAACATACAGCGTGTAATTACATGAATAGTTTTGTATCACTGCTCAAGTGTGAATGCATGTGTTTTACAAAAACAAGTGTGCAACTCGATGTAGGTGTGACTGTGAGTGTGATTTTGTGTGTCTATGTGACTGTGTTTCCTGGGCAAGTAGTAAGAGGACAGTATGGATGCAGGGGGTCCTATGGACAGCTACCCAGCTTCCAATATGTTCCTGATGCACATTTCACCCACAGTGAAGCTAGAAAACCTTGGATCGAGGAGGAAAGGTGGAAGGAGGAGTTTGATGATGCATATTCCAACCCTTAGGGTCACCTGTCTCCACTGGGGAGGAGTCTGAAACCTAGATACATGGGGTTAGCACTGCTTCCTGCAGGACATCAGGGGACCCTCGAGTGGATGGATGTGGGGACTCCCTGTGTTTGGTGCATTAAGCTGACAGCTCTTTCGGGGATCAATGTGGACCCAGAGAGGATGTGTGAGGTCCACCAGCCCTGAGTGTGGTCAGGTTTCACAGCACAGGGAAGGCCCTGTGATCTCCCTGGAACCAGGAGAGGGAGGGCACGCAGAAAATCAGACACTGAGAA